AGAAATAGGAGACTTGAAGGTTGAAACCCTAGATTTCTTCTTGAACTTGAGAGAGAACTGGAGAAGATGAATGTTTATGAGAGTTGGGGATTTGAGAGAATGAAAAGGTTTTTTTTTATAGAACTAGGAATAGAAGGGTAGTTATATGGCTTAGAATTAGGGTCAAAACGACATAATATAGGTATTTAATTCATAAGAAAAGACCCAAATACCCTTAAGAAATAATTGTCAGACAGTCCTACAGTCTATAGAAGTTTCTACGGCCCGTACTGGTTAACCGTAGAACCAACTTCAGAAACCCAAATTCACCTTACTTCCCACGGGACCTTTTTATGAGTCGTCGACCTTCCTACGGTCTGTAGACCTCATATGTAGTTCTCAACTTTTAGTTCAAAATTTCACTAAACTTGGAACCTTTCTATGGAATCCATCTACGACCCATCAAACTTCCTACAACTTGTCCTATCCATTCGTAGGTTAAACTTCAGAAACTTGAAATTTCAAAAACTCCTCTCCAAGTTTATGACTCCCTTCCTATGACCCGTAGAAAGGACTCTTAGAACCTGCCTTAGAGCCAAAATCTGAACTTTTTCCTTTTTCAACTCGACTTTCCAATTTTTAAGGTATTATAATAATTCCCCCTTGGGAATATTCGTCCTCGAATAGGACTCAAGCTAGCATGAATAGAGTAGGAGAGAAACTAACAACCCAACATGAATGCAAATCTCATCAAAATGCACATAAACATGGAGAATCACTCCACGCTAAATCATAACATCAAAAAATCAAGTTTTCATGAACATACATGCATATGAAACACATGAGAATGACTAAAGCGCATGAATTTGAAAGAATGAACTGTGAGGAACTAATATCTCAAGCTAGAATAGGAGCGTAGGGAAAGAGATTAGGATATTGGGACATCATTTCGGCTTCGGCCTTCCAAGTTGCACCCTCAATTAATCGATTCCTCCAAAGAACCTTCACGGAAGCAACTTCTTTATTTCTCAACTTCCCAACTTGTCAGTCTAAAATTTCAATCAGAACCTCTTCATAAGAGAGATTTCTTTAACTCCCAAACCTTCCAAAGGTGCAATGGACGCCGAATCTCCAACAACTTCTTCAACAAAGAGATATGGAATACCAGATGTACTGATGCTAAATCATTAGGCAACTCAAGTTCATAAGCAACTTTGTCAATAGACCTCCAAATTTGTTATGGGCCCACATAATTGGGACTAAGATTTACTTTCTGTCCAAACCTCTTTACACCCTTCATTAGTGAAATTTTCAAATAGAAACAATCATTAACATCGAATTCAATCCCTCTTCTTCTAACATCGACATAAGACTTTTGTTGACTTTAAGCTATTTTCAACCTTTCGCGAATAAATCAAAACTTTTCCATAGCCTCATGCACCAACTCGGGCCTTATCAAGGCAACCTCACCAACTTCAAATCAACCTATAAGAGACTACAACTCCTACCATAAAGAGTCTCAAATGGTGCTATCCCAATGCTAGAATGATAGTTATTATTATAAGTGAACTCAATCAAAGGAAAATAATCATCCCAATTACCCTTGAAGTCAATCACATAATATCTTAGCATATATTCCAAAGTTTAAATAGTACGTTCGGCTTGTCCATCGATCTGAGGATGAAAAGTCGTGCTAAGTTTCACTTCGATACTAAGATCTTTCTGAAACGACTTCAAAAATTGAGAAGTAAACTGAGTGCCACGATTGGAGATAATGGACAGGATACTCCATGCAACCTTACCATTTCTCAAATACATATCTTTGTATAATCTTCAGTCGAGAATGAAGTCTTCACAATAAGAAAGTGAGTTGATTTTGTCATTCGGTCCACAATAAACCAAATCGAATAAAATTGTCTATGAGTGCAGTGTAAACCCATAATGAAGTCTATATTCGAATCTTCCCACTTCCATGTAGGAATACTAATATCTTGAACCGACCCTCCCGTTTTCTGATGTTCAACTTCCACTCGTTGACAATTCAGACACTTAGCCACAAATTCCGCAATACTCTTCTTCATCCCATTCCAATAGACCTCCCGCAAGTCGCGGTACATCGTGGTGGCTTCCGGGTGAATAGAATACCGAGAATTGTGAGCTTCTGTCAGAATTTGATTTCTCAACTCTGCAACAAATGGAACACATAACCGACCTTAATATCGAATGACTCCATCTCCCCTGGGGAGAAAACCTCAATTGCTTTTTCGGAAACCGACTTCTTTAACTCAACCATAATCGAATCAAAATATTGCTTATCTTTCATATCCAATATAAAAGATGATTCCTAACTATTATGATTAACCACACCACCTTCATTAGAATCAACCAAGTGAACACCCAATTAGGCCAATCTATGAACATCACAAACTAACTCCTTCGTATCATCATCAACATGAGCAACACTTCCCATCGATAGTCGACTAGGAGCATACGCCACCATATTTGTCTTACCGGAATGATATAGGACACTCATGTCGTAATTCTTCAACAACTCAAGCCACCTTTTTTGGTGAAGGTTCAAATCATTTTGAGTGAACACATATTTCAAACTCTTGTGTCCGGTAAACATGTCTACATGAACATCATATAGGTAATACCTCCAAATCTTTTAAGCAAACACCACCACCGCTAACTCCAAATCATGAGTCAAATAATTCTTTTCATGCACCGTCAATTGCCTTGAAGCATAAGTGATGACCTTTCTATGTTGCATCAAAACACAACCAAGACCAATTCGTGAAGCATCACAATAAACCACAAAACCATCTGATCCTTCCAATAATGTCAGTATAGGGTCGAAGTGAGTCTATCTTTCAACTCGTAAACTCTTCTCACAAGTTTTCGACCATAGAAATTTCACTTTCTTTTGAGTCAATATCGTCAAAGGCGAAGCAATAGAGGAAAATCCTTCCACCAACCTTCTATAGTAACTGGCCAAACCCAAGAAATTTTGTATATCCGAAGCGGACAAAGGTCTAGGCCAATTCTTAACCGCCTTGGTTTTCTTAGGATCGACTTGAATACCTTCGCCGGAGACAATGCGACCTTAACCAAAACTCACATTTATTAAACTTCACATACAATTCACGATCCTTGAGAATTTGTAACACAATACTCAAATGCTCAACATGCTCATCCTCACTCTGTGAGAAAATCAAAATATCATCAATAAACACAATCACAAATATGTCAAGGTATTACTTGAAGACCCTATTCATCAAATCCATAAATGTTGTCAGGCATTAGTCAAACCAAAAGACATCACCAAAAAATCGTAATGACCATACCGAGTTTGAAAAGTCGTCTTCAGAATTTTATTTTCCTTCATCCTCAATTGAAGATAGTCTGACTGGAGGTCAATCTTAGAGAAATAACTCACTCCTTGGAGTTAATCAAACAAATCATCAATTCTGGGAATATGATACATATTTTTAATGGTAACCTTATTCAATTGTCGATAGTCAATGCACATTCAGAGAGAATCGTCCTTCTTTTGAAAACAACACCGGAGCACCCCATGGAGAGATACTCGACCTAATAAAACCCTTATCCAACAAGTATTTTGATTGATCCTGTAACTCCTTAAGTTCTGCCGGGACCATACGATAAAGAGGAATAGAAATAGGTTGCGTATCTGAAAAAAGGTCAACACCAAAGTCTATTTCCCTTTCGAGAAGAATACCGGGAAGATCATCGGGAAACACTTCCAGAAACTCATATCGAAACTAACTCAAGAGTAGAGGTTTCAAAATCTATATCCCTAACCCAAACGAGATGATATATGCAACCCTTAGAGATCATCTTCCTAGCCTTTAGGCAAGATATAAACGGACCCTTAAGAATATAATTTCCCAATTCTCATGACATGATCGGTTCGTTTGGAACCTTGAATGTGACCAATCAGGTCCTACAATTTATGGAAGCATAACATGCATGAATTCAATCCATCTGAAATTATTGCGCTCGTGCGAGCTCTTATATATGTGTGTGTCTTGTTTATGAGAATGATAAAATTTTATGTTAATCATTACCATTTACGTATTTAGTAAGGTAACTTTCAAAAATGACTATAGTTTGGGCTTAATTAAAGATATATAGTTATATTTTACTTAATTACAAATTATAGCTACATGTTAGGGGGAGGGAGAGGCGAGTGAGACTAGAAGAGAGAGGAGAGAGGAGAGAGGTTGAATATTAGTTGTATTCATTGTATATCTTTATCAAATTGAATACAATTGTATAAAAAACTATTGTATTTAGCTACATATTAGGAGGAGAGAGACGAGCGAGATCGAGAAGAGGGAGGAGAGAGACGAGATCTTAGAGATAGTGGAGAGAGGTTGAATACCAGTTGTATTCATTGTATATTTGTATCAAAATGAATAAAATTGTATTAAAAAAATTATTGCATTTAGCTAAAAATATTAGGAGGAGAGAGGCGAGCAAGATCGAGAAAGGGAGAAGAGAGGATGAATACATGTTGTATTTGTTTTATTTCGAATACAATTGATACATAATACAAAATAGTTATGCATTAGATAAATACAAAATACAATGCAAAATAAATACAAAATACAATTCATTATATAAATACAAAAATAATTATATACATTAAATAAAAACAAAAGCAATTCAAAATAAATACAAAATACAGTTCAAAACAAAATATTAAGTTGATATGGAATACAAATACATTTGATACATAATACAAAATACAATTATCATATTTATGTGGAATGGTTTTTGGATTGCAATTGTTTGGGTTGGAGAGAGAGAGAGAGAGAGGGGCAAGGGAAAGAGGGAGAGAGAGAATTGCTATAAGACCCTACTTATAGCTATAAATTGCAAAATTTTAAAATATAGTAATTTATTGTAAATACATATCACATGTTTGCCTTGCTGTATAATTTTCCCTATTTAGTATGCCCAACATGAAATCATCTCCTTATGAGCAATTATAATTTGAATGGAAAAATATTGTGTGCTTTATTTATCAAAATTTCTAAAAGAAATATGAAATTTGCTATTTTAGTTTAGTTGGCATCTTTGACCACTTGACTCAAACATCCAAAGTAAAATAATTTTACAATTCAAGTGATTGTTTTGCACAAGAAAACCAAAAGTAGCTAGAGTAACTTTAGTTTCATTTCTGCTGCTCAATTTGAACTGACAAGCTTAGGCTTCCACAATTTCCAAACCAACAACTTGTTTTCTCTTGGTGTGTGTTCTACCAACCTTCTACTTGCATTGAGACACCTTATCATAAACATGTCATCGTCGACGTTTGGCGTTGAACTTTCGTCTACAGGGGTTCGTGGACATTTAGCTCCTTCAGTTGCCTCCACAACCTGATTTACCATCTCCAAGACCTCGCTCATTTTTGGACGATTTCTCGGGTGTTTAACTAAACACCTATTAGCTATAGCAGCTAACTTCTGAGCAGATTTAATGGAATAGTTTCCATCCAATCGAGGATCCAATATTTGTTCAAACTTCTTCAGGTCAGAAAGATGTGGTCTTACCCATTCAAGAAGTTTCTGCTCATTTTTAGGTTTATTTCTGTCCAACGGACGCCTGCCTGTGATGAGTTCATATAGAAACACCCCATAGCTCCATACATCACTCTTGGACGTTAGGCGCCCAGTTTGTATATATTCTGGAGCAGCATATCCAACAGTTCCCACCACCTAATGAAATCAAAAGACATGTATTTGATCAAGTATGTTGTACAAAATAGGATATTTCACATAGCTAGTGCTGGTGTTTTAAAACCAAAATCCAATATCTTTGACATATTTTGAGATATTTCATATGCTAAATTAACTGTATCAGCCAAATCGTGACATTTGAATATCATATTGCTTTTAATGTAGTAATTAGTTTTAGTAACGAAAAGGGATAATGCATAAGTATCCTGAACTATGACCAGTGGCGGATCTATGAAGGGCATTGCGGGTGCCACGCCACCCCCGAACTTCGACGAAAACTCTATATATACATAGCTATATATATATAATACTTATATAAATATAAGGCGTGCCACCCACAGAACAAAATTGGCTTGTGGTGCCATGGTAGGAGGGCAACTTTAGAAGGTTGAGGTTACGGGTTCGAATCCCATTTGACACCCACGGACTCTAAATCCTGGATCCGCCACTGACTATGACCGAAATTCCAGTGACACACCTTAACTTAACTAAGGTCCTATTACCCTTAATTAATTTTGTAAAGCACGATCAACTATTCTGAATACATAGTAGAGATTCTTAATTCAATGGAGATATTGAGCATACCGCTGTTGAGACATGGCTTAATCCGTCAGAAGGTCCTAATCTGGCCAAGCCAAAATCAGACAACTTTGCATTCCATTTCTCATCCAAGAGAATGTTAGACGATTTGAAATCTCTAAAGATAATCTGCACCAAAAAATATGTATCAACACGATAGTGCAAAAGTATCATATAATGAGGTGGAAGAGTGTTACAGAGGAACAACAGAATTACCTGAAACTCCATTCCCTCGTGTAGGTAAGCCAAGCCTCGAGCAGCATCACGAGCGATATTTAACCTTGTTTCCCATGGCAAAGGTGACATAAAACGACTTATTAAATGATCTTGTACACTTCTGTTGGGCAAAAACTCATATACCAGTAAACGTTGTATTCCTCTTTCATCATCCTGTGCACAATAGCCTATTAATTTGACAAGATTCGGATGCTCAACGACACCAAGGACGTTCACTTCCGTCACCCATTCCTTATGCCCCTAAATCACAAGACAAACTCAATCTTTTTGTTTCACAGTCCACTACATTAAATATAAAAATCTTAAATGAAACTAGCCTGCAAGCCTCTTTGGCTGAGTTGTTTAACAGCAATATTTGTGTCCTTTAAAACGCCCTTGTATACACCTCCAAAACCGCCTTCTCCTAGCATGAGGGATCGACTAAAGTTCTTGGTGGCGCTCTTCAACTCTTCAACTGTGAAAACCTTAAGGTGACAAGGCTTTTTATTAGACAAGCACGAAAACGAGAGCCTCGAAGAGGACTCAGTGCTAATGTCCGATGACACATTTTGTGAGTTGTATTCAGATCCTTTCAGGTCAGGATCTGTGAAAACAGAGGCAGATGACTGGCCTGATGTTGACTTTCTAGTCTTGTTATGATCATCATTCTTATCTGAATTAGAGAACTGGAAACACTTCATCCCTGCATATATCACAAATCTAACCAAATCATATATGCAATTCTTGGCTTGAAATATCACAAATATAATTTTTTTACCTAGAAGAAACACTTTCAATTTTCACTATCCATGTGTTTGTTGATTAGCTTCACAGACACTACTAGTTAAATGTGCTATTTTTTTCTTTTGGGTTTCCCCAAAAGATGTTCAGTACCTGCATTAGAGTCCGACTAAATCTATATTCACACCAAAAAGTCCCACATTGAGGTTAAAAACAATACCTAACAAAGGTAAGTGCATATACAGGGGGACTCAAAACCGACAATGAAGGAATATTTACCACTCCATCACAACACAGTGGTATTATTTGTACTAAAATGGTTATATCCATGGCTGAGTGGCAAATTGTAGAAATTCTAATTCTAATGGCAAAAACAGGGAAAGTCATCTGAAAATTTTCAGACAGAGCAATAATTTATGCAATCTAAACAGTTATGTGCATTGAGAAAAGGTGTATTTATCAAGAAATTCAAAAAAATGACACTAAAAACATATTTCATATAGAAGAGGTATATATATTTACCTTTAGGGAGAAATGAATGGAGAATGAGAGTTGAGGTAAAATGAATGGAGAATGATGAAGTGATTTTTAAAAAAAGAAAAAAAAGGAAGAGAGGAAATCAAGTAAGCAACGAGCATACCATGATCTAAGGAAGTCAATGCTTGGCAGCTGGAATTCAGTTCACCAACTTAAATTAAAAGGGACATTTGGGAAAACAATAAATGACTAAGAAAATATTTAAAATATATTTTCTTTTATTATATAAGAGATAGTTTCAAGTTGAAGCAAACATGCCTCATCAATTGATGTGTCTGCTTCACCAGGGATATTTTTGAAAAAAAATAAAAAATAAAAAATTATTTATTTGATTTAATTAGTATACATGTTTTTTAAAATTAAGGATCAGCTTAATCTATCTTTAGTTTTATTATTTTGAATGCCAGTAAAAAATTAATTATCAATAATGAAAAATATTTTAGTTATGAAGATCTTAGTGGACTTCTAAGCCCAAAAAAAATGAGATGATATACTACCACATAAATATTTATTATAATTTATTTCTGAGTAAGAAAATTTAAAATCATTTAATCAATACTGCTTAAAATTTATAAATATTAATAATATTTATCAAGTATTTAATTTATACTCAATTAGATAATTTCATATCATTTAATTAATATTGTTTTAAATATTAATTTATGAACAAATATTAAACTCAGGCCCAACACGGAGTTTTCATAATTAGTTTTTTTTTTTTATAGAAAAGAGGGTTTGAGTCATCAGATGATTCACTTCGTTTAGGTGATAGAGCTATGACTATGACATGTTTGGATACATATAATCGGGGGTGACGATTCAGACGATTATTTAAAAAAAATTATATCATTCCAATTTTTTGGGTATTTTATAATATATAACTAATTTTTTTAAAAAAAAAATTTATATCATTCAAATTTTTCCGGTATTTTATAATAAATAACTATTTTTTTAAATCATTCCAATCATATCGGTTTCTCTTCGGTATCGATATGTTTTGATTAATTTTCGTTTTTTACTTTTAAAGTATTACCTCAAAAAATACTATTATTTAAATATTTCTTTTGCAAATACGTTCTTGAAAAAGCATTTCAATTCTTCACCAAGAAGTCAAGAATGTAAAACTTTATTGTCATACTGTTTAATCTTAAATATTTAATAGGAGTGCTTGCATATGTTTTGTTGTATTGTTTGATACATTATCTACTATAGTATCTTTTAGTTTTAAACTTAATTAATTAAATGCAAATTAAAGAGCAAAAAATCAAAGTCGTTCGGTCACCAGTCCACCAGAATAAGTAAAGGCTAATTAAAGAGCAAAGACCCAAAGTCGTCTAGTCAACAAAGGCATAGGACCTAGGTTATATTTATATTTGAAAAATGTTATAAATATATTTATATATTAAATTTAACATATTGTTAATATATAAAATATATTTACATATACTCAAGGTTATTCACTTCTGTTCGTGAAATTTTTATTTTTTTTATAAATTAAAAAGACCATTTCAATTGTTCGGGACAATTATACACTTAATAAAAGTCTATGATTTTATTGAAAAACTGACATAAATTGGTTCGATTCGATTTGATCGATTTTTCATATTCTTTTGACACCCTAGCAAATAATCCATCTATAGAGACATGTTATAGGCTTTTATAGAATATTTGGTTGTCATTTTTGAATTTGTCATAATTAATATCAACATAATTTTATATATTAATTTATTTATTAGAAATAATATATAGGGATCGTTTTGTTGGATGTATATTTAGAACTCTAATACATATATTAGTTACCACATTATTTAATCTTTTTTTGGGTATGATTTTGAGTCTATATATGAGTAATACATGTTAGTTATACATTTTATTTAGTATTATCGGGTGTATAGTTATTACATAGCAAACACCGATATTAGCAGTATATGAGTCATTAATATATAAATAAGCATGTGTAAAGGTTATATATATATAGAGAAAATACATAAAATTCCTCCGAACTTGATAGCAAAATTTATTTGAACACTTTAAATTTATGGGTAATTATTTATCCCCTAGTCTCTTTTCAAGTGAATTTAATATCACCCTAAAATTATAATACCAGTCTCACAATGGCAAGTGCATTCCACACGCGCCCTGTCATTGATATATCAGCGCCACATAATTGCCACGTCAGTGCCACGCAGAACATTATTTAATTTTTACTTTTTCAATTCTTTTTTTTGTTTCTTTTTATTTATTCATAATTTTAGAGAGCAAAAAAAATTCAAAAATTAAGAACCCTGTTCCTCAACTCAGTCACAGTTGCAATTGAACAAATTCGATCACAATTGAAAAGATTGATTCAAAATGTCAAAACTATTCTCACAAAAACACATTCAATTTTTGAGACACATTATTAAGACAATAAATAATGACTGGAAATTTAATTTGAAATGAAGAAATTATAGATTTTCCATTAAAAAGAGCTTCAAGTTCATCACATTCAAACACTACTATAAATAATAAGTTTGAAGCAAGAACAAATTGTTGGCTTTTCTATTTCCTCCCCCTATTCATCACACCCTTTTACGGATAGAAAGGAAATAGAGGTAGGGTGGGGGCATTTCAAAGAAAGAGAAAGAAGATGGAAAGTTCAACAAAAAAGAAGAACAAGAAGAAAAGGCGATGCAGTGGTGGTTGGCGGCAGATCCGAAGAGAAAGAAAGAGTGTGAGACTTCTAAGAGGAGAAATAGGATCGAGATGGGGGTTTCGAAGAAGGAGAAATTAAAAGAGGTGGGGGGTTCGACGAAGAAGAAAGAGGTGGTGCAAGTGGTGGTTGAGGGCGAGAGGGGTGGTGGGGTGTGAGGAAGATGAAGGCAAAAAAACATTATTGGCTAAAAAGAAAAAAAATGGGGCCACTTATTCTTTTTCTCTTTAATTATTGATATTTACGCGCAGTAAATTTTTTGACTTGTCACATCAGCTATTTGGGTGTATTAAATTCACTTGAAAAGAGATAAGGGGGTAAATAATTACCCGTAAAGTTAAAGTACTAAAGTAAGTTTCGTTGTCAAGTTCAGGGGAGATTTTATGTATTTTCTCATATATATATATATATATATATAAGTGGTGATAGCACATATATGTCAGCACACACAAAAAAACGCTTTTTAAATATTTAAAATTAATTATATGGAATAGGGTTAAATAATTAATTACTATTTTATTTTTAAAATGATTTTAAAGCAAATTTTACAATTAATAAATAATTTTAAAATAGTTCTAAAAAATAGTGTGATGTGTGTGATTACTTTTTTGTGAAAAAGTTATCATATTTTTAATGCAAAATATTTTATCTATCTTTCCACCACTCCTTATTTACCGCAAAACAAATGCATATTTTTTACATTAATTTTTGTAATTTATATTTTTTAAGCTCGTTTGTAATTATATTTTTGTATAAAGTTATCATATTTTTTAATTCTAATTAAATATCATATTAATGCTAAATATCATGTTTATAAAATTCAAAAATAAAAATAAAAATAATTTTTAATTTTTTTTTATATCTATCAATCTATATAAAATAGGAGAGGCAAAATATACCACATGTTAGGAGAGCCTAAAAGTAGCACCATAATTTTTTTAATTTTCTGTATAATTAAAATTAATTAATTATCTGCAAGTATATTTAATAATAACTAATAAATTACAATTTAAAAAATAAAACAAGTTTTTCAGACAGTTTTTAAAATCTATATATATTAGGAGATGAAAAAAATACCACCGGTTAGGAGAGGCTAAAAGTAGCACCATAATTTTTTAAATTTTCTATACAATTAAAATTGATTAATCATCTGTAATTATATAAAATAATAATTATTAAATTACAATTTTAAAAAATAAAACAATTTTTAAAACAGTTTTTAAAATTAACATGGAAGAAGTTCAGAAATTTTAAACAGTTTTTAAAATTTAAAATTAACATTGAAGCAGTTTTAAAATTATTTCAGAAATTTTAAACAGTTTTTAAAATTTAAATTTAAAAATAACATGGAAGCACTTTTAAAATTATCCATTTATAATTTTAAATAGATTTTAAAATTAACATTCCAAAAACATTTCTCCACTGAAATAAAACATTAAAAAAGATCTCCTCTTAACAAACACACGTTTATAAACTACACACAAAAAAAAACTCCTTATTTGTAGTAACTAAATACAAGTCTTTATTTCCTTTTATAACTGCATGTCATGTCTAGGGTGTACTTTGGGTTGTGACAAATCCATGTTCTTAGAGCGTCAAAAACCTTGTCCCAAATGAATGAAGGGAATGGGTTATTTTTAGAGGAATTGGTGCGTTTTGAGGGGAATTTGAAATTTTCAAAATCCTTTGAGAGGACAAATTGAAGGTAAGATACGGATAGAGTAATGATGAAAAGAAGAAAGAAAAGAGGGATATGGCAAACTCGCTAATCTCCTTCTTTGTTTCAAACTTTATGGGTATCAGAGAGGGTACTCAAGTTGGATTTTCGCCTCGTTGATCAAGTACTCCAAATCACAACGAAACATGCGGCACATTTCGATGTCTTGACCCTTGGTGTCATGGATGAGACAAATTTCATCATCTTTACACTAGACAGTGGAGGTCATTCTTTCCTTCCTTTCAACATGAGCCAGGATCTTGGCTTGAACCAACTTGTAGTAGATGCTCATATACAACTCTGCGAAAGCCAAGTCATAACGATCGATCAAAACATCCTTCATGATTTGCATACAAGGTTCCGCTTGATCACAAACAAGAATGGTGTGAGGGCCCCATATATGACTGATTCTTCAGCTATCGACCATGCTTTGACTTTTAGTCCTCAGCTCCATACACTCTTCAGTAGTATGACCAATCTGATTCTAATGATAAGCACACTTCTT